TGGCGCACCGCCGGGAGCCCCAGCGCCAGCTCCAGCTCCTGCTCTCCTGCTTCCACCGAGCCACCAGCCGAGAAATGTCCTCGTGGGACTCAGAGGGGATCTCGTGAAATCCCTGCGGATGAGTAAGGACTTGTCAAGCCAGGGAATCTCAGGGAGAAGCCACAGCACCTCGTCAGACAAGCGGGGACATTCTTCTTCCCTGCTGATGCAGGACAGCTCCAGGCTCGTGACGAAGGACGCCAGGGTGTTACGTCCACGGAAGAGCAGGGAAGAGATGGGGATTTTCTCCCAAGCCTGGCTTGCCAGAGAGCAGGGATGTGGCGAAAGCAGGCTGAGGTTCTCCGCCTTCATCCAGGTGAGTGCAGCAAGGACCATCCCAAGAACTTTTCGTGCCCCAGGCTTTGCTGGGCCTGGTTTCATTTCGTGCAGCAGGTCTAACCCCTTCTCGGGTCATCTTGGATGGCGCAAAGCCCAAGTTCACTGCTGTGCCTGCCAGCCCCACGCCAGAGCAGCAAACCCAGCCTCTGAGAAGGTCTGTTCCTGGTAAGCCTCGACATTTTGCTCCAGCTTTAGGAGGCTCCGGTGGGGCTCCCACACAGGAGGTAGGTGCATCCTACATACTTTCCAAAGGAAGTGACTAAGCTGCGCCTTACCGAGCCAGCCCAGCTGCTTACACTGTACTCTAACCCCACCAGCCCTCGACGCTGCCCACAGCCTCTGCTCCTTCCGTACGTGTCCTCCGCAAAGACGCCCCTGCTCTGAGCACGTCCGTGCAGCCGGGCTACAGCCCAGTTACCGACAAAGAGGAATTACTGGAAAAGCACCATCAGGCTTTTAGGGAAGATTCATTTTACCTGCTCACAGGCAACCGCTGCAACACGTGTTAGCGCTAGCCCTTACGTTCTCCAAACAGCCATTGTGAGATCTGCTAGTTTAAGAAAACACAAAACTAGGGACAAGGTGCTAATGGCAATTTTTTAACCTCACTTATGCATATACATGTAAATGAGCCCTGGCTACAGCAACAGCACAGCCAGGAAATACAGCGACGACTGGCTCGGTTCTATAAATACACCTGTGAGCAAGAGGTGTTACAGCAAAAACTCCTGGTACATAAGCAAACGTGTAACTCATTTGTCATTTTATGAACACGACTCTTGCTCAACTACGCGTGCACACGCAGGTAATCAGCGCACAATTAAGGAGTTGGAAACATGTAGGGCATGTCTTGGCTGTAGAAAGATTAATTCATTCAAGCGAGTGATTCAAACCGAACAGGAAACCTTGAGTTAAGAACCTTGATTTTGTACAATAGTTTATTTTTCACCCCAATTCAATGCTCACCAATTTTAGTATTTCCTTTTGCTAACCAGGTTATAATCTAACTGAGCACATTCAGAAATCGTGTCTTTTGGGTTTGGGGGATTTTTTTTTCTCCCACAAAACAAGGAATGACAGGTCCTGTTTAGGCTCCCCCCCCCGGCTTTCAATTTGTTCCAAGAAGGTGAAAACAAGCAGGAACAGTACAGCCACGAGACAGCCGTACAGCCACGAGAGCCCCTTTTTTCTTTGTACTTCCCCAAAGCACAGCTGCACAGCTCCAAGGCAGGGTGGGCACACGATGCGGGTATCAGCTACCTGACATGGATCAGCACAAACCACCTGGTTTTACCAAGGCCTGGGAACTTCAGTTATTGAGGCTTTTGTTAGTCTGAAGAACACAGATTTGTTCAACCATTCTTCCGAGTGAATTAGCACTGATACACAACAGTAATCAGAAAATCTCCACTCCGGAGAGTCACGACACTCCTGCTCCCATCAACACCCTTCCACCACCAACTAGATGGCAGCTGAAGAAAGGGGGGAAAAAAAAAAAAACCCAACAAACACACACTTTTAAATAAGCAAACACAAAGCAGTACTACTGGGGAGGGGTCCCAAGTCTGGGCAAGTAGCAGAACGCTGGTCTGTTGTGTCGAGTAAGCACTTCCCTATGCCAAACAGAAAATAAAAGTATTTTTTCCTGTGTCCAGTACTCGTGGTCAGACTCTAAGCTGGTTTCGTAGCCAAGAATTCACTTGGGACACATTATGGACACGAGCCCAGTGTCAGCAGACATAGTCAGTCAACAAGTTGCACGGCCATGGCCCCCCCGTCCCAATCGCAGCCGGGATCCCGTACGACACGAGGGAGACGGCCGCACTGTGCTACACCTAACCCTTTCATGCAAGAGGTTCGTAAGTACCATCAGCGCGGTAAATCTGAAAAATAGGTTTTATTTTTTAAACCAGTGGTATTGTGACATCTTATCTGGCATAACCAATTACAGCAAAATTCATGGATAGAAACAAAAGAGCAGATCTCTTCTTTGAAGTGCATCCTCCTGTTCAGTCTGCAGCCGGCTGAACAGCATTGCACCGAAGGTAGGGAGTGCATGCCACGTGGGCTCCCGCCGGAGCACGGGCTCCGAATGAAACGTTCCCACTCACACACGCGCACAGACACACACACGCACGCACAACGTCTATATTTTTAAAAATCTTTAGCAATATTTCCGCATGAAATCACACTGTAGCATCTACACATAAAATGGCTGATAAAAATAATCTTGCTGTAGGTTTACATAGTATATCTACATTTTCATTTGAATACCTGGACTGCTGGTCCAGCAGAAAAGGGAGGTTTTCTGTCTTGATTTTGTTGGGCTGAGGAGAGTTTTATCCCAGAGCATGAAATAACTGCTCTCTTCATCTCACCCCAGACCTTGATTAAGTGTTTGACGTGAAGAGATCACTGGAAAGTAGCCTAGGAAGAATCAATGGCTTTGTCATCCGTGTCCCATCCCTTTGTGCTGCCTCTTCAAACACAGGCTAAAAACACTACAAACAGTTCTTCTCCATCCCATAGGTAACAAGAATACAAAATACTGCAAAAGCCTTTCACCTCACATACACAGGTACATTGTCCACACAGGATGCCTGCAACAAATAAATGTCTAAAAACGTCTCTTCCGCAAGTCCTAAAATCGGGCTCCTGAGCTCCCCAGGTACAGTTCTAGCACACAAACATGCTGAGAAACCTCCCTCCTGCCAGGCTCTAACTCTGGGCATTTCATTCACACACAGTCCTGTAAAATACAAAATATTTGAACCATGTTTGTATTCAAACATCCTCCCTTTTCATGTTTCCTCAGGCAGAGATCAACCCGCTAAAAACCAGCCAAGAAGCTTTTATCTAAGAGGGTAAAAAAACCTCTAGTAAATGTTAGTTTTATATATATATAAATATTTATATTTATAGATATAGACAGTGAGATTGTGGTTTTATGCATGCTTATTTCTTTGCTTTGGATCCCAATATTTCTAAAAAAAAAAAAAAAAATCTTTTCAGGAAATAACTTAAGTTCTGGCACAAGATGCCATAGTTGTTTCTTTGAAGAACATTTTTTTACATTTGATCTCACAAGAAACCCTCCGTCCCAAGCTCTCCTTCTCTGAAATCAGAAGGTCAGAACAAAGAAAAAGGTGCATGTTTCTATGCCGTATACGTTATCCTTTCCTCGTCAAAGCCTCCAGAACGGCACGTATTTCACAATGAGCTGCAGCGCAAGAGGA